AGTCCACACCTCTTAAAGTTGCCAAGGTTGAGAAACACTGACTACACATAAACAATGGATGAGGTCATCCACCAGTTTAGGGTTCAGTATCATCAATATGCTGACGATATCCAATTCTATCTTTCTACTCCAGGCCAGCCAAGTGAGGCTGTTGAGGTTCTGGTTGGGGAATTCTGGGAGTTGAAGTCCACACATCTATTCCGTCCCCCAGATCCGAGGATTTTTCATCTACGCTCTTGGATGGGGTAGCACTCTCCAACTGAGGAACAGTGCGTGATCTGGGGTTCCTCTTGGATGCGCAGCTCAAACGGCAGGTAGCAGCTGTGGCCAAGGGGGACTTCACTCAGCTCCCCCTGTTGCACCAATGGCACCCTTCCTTGGATCAAGACGGCCTTCAGACAGTTACCCATTGCCTGGTCACCTCATGGCTTGACTACTCCAATGCACTGTACATGGGGACGCTCTTGAAAACGACTTGGAAGCTTCAGTGGGTCCAGAATGTGGTGGTGTGGGCAGTGATGGGCACGCTTCGGTGTGCCCACGTGACACCCCTACTTTGCAAGCTGCACTGGCTCCCAGGAGGCTTCTGGGTGCAATTCAAGGTGCCGGTTATGACTTATAAACCCTACATGGTGTAGGAGCCGGTTGAGGGGCTACCTATCTCCTGTGGTATCTACCAGGGTTGGCGTGCTCTGGCCCCCTTCAGTTGAACAGTGCCATCCTTGGGATCCAGAAGCAGGCCTTCTCTGCCGCAGCGCCCGCCCTCTGGAATGAGGTCCGGGTGGTTCCCACCCTGATGGCGTTCCGCAAAGCCTTGAGACCCGGCTCTTCTCCCAGGCCTTGGGCTGAGACGGATGGGGGCCCTTGGGGGACCTTGTTCTTTTAATTTTCAGTTTGCGTACTGTGTCCAGGTGCCATCTTGTTTGGGTCTATACTGGTTTTTATGATACTGTGTGATGGAAGGGTTTGGTGAAGGCCGCGCTCGGGGAGATAAGCATTTCCTTAGTCCCCAGCAGGAGCGTGGGAAGGTTAAGAGGAA